AAAATGTGCATGTAAAATATATGTGAAAGAAAGCAAATTCCTGTTAAAAAGCTCTCTTATTTCTAATAAACTTTTATTAGAGAAATTTTTCTGTATTACTTCCAGTGTAAAAGTTATAAGCAGTATCGTCCTAAAGAGTCTCAAAAGAAATACCACCTAAAAATCATATTAACGGTGGAAGGATCAAGTAGTCGTTGGAAAATAATTGAATGTTCGTTGTTTAAAGGGCATAAATGTCATAAAATACGAACGTCAAACATAGAACTTTTGTGCTTACAAAATGTTTTCTCATTCAGAAAAAGTTGATATGTTGCTAATTTACGGCAAGTCACAAGAAAATTCAAGAAGAGCTGTAGAGTTATTTCGAGAAAGGTATCCAGAGCGCCTCATTCCTGATCATAGTATCTTTACAAGATTGGGGGCGACCTTGCGACGAAATGAAGATGCATTATGGATTGGGCCTAATGGACCTATTCAGTGTGATTTTTTTACGGGGAGTTTTAAAAAATAAGGTTTGCAAAACACCTTCGCGAGATATTAATCATTTGAAAGAAAAAATCACAAACGCTTGTAATGAGTTAAACAACAATGGATATGCAAATATAATTCAAGGTATCCTTTTTTTCATCTAATCGCCATTTTATGCAGATATACAGTTGCCACTTGTTTCACGACTCATACCGGTTCTGGAGGAAAAAAAAAGACTTAGACACTGACCTTTGTTTCTAATTACCATTTATCATCCGCTTCTGATAATGTTAAACCACAAGATAAAGTGGTTTGTTTCTTCATTAATAATTAATTAGAGTCGACTCCCTGTCTTCCATAGATCGACTTAATAGGTTTTCAGTCCGAAATGATTGATTTTTTATCTGGAACGAAGCAAGATTACGCTACATTAATTCTTGAGCTAATTTGGGCTGTTAATGTTTGTGGTCTCAGCGTGAGGTTATACTGATATGAAGATAATGATGTGTAGTTTCGAGGAATTGTTTATTTATCGATGATTTTTTCTGCACATGATATAGTAAAGGCAATTTTCGTATAATTTTTCTTTAAACAAGATAATATTAATATGTAATGTATGGAATAAATTCAGTAAAATCGAAACAAATTTTTTTTGGGAAAAATCCTCGAACAGGTCGATTTTTAATTTAAAAAATACATTTTTAGCATAAAAGGCGATTTTCAACCGTCATTTGTTTTCGAGTAATGACGTCATCGACATTTTTTTTAAATAGCAACCCCCTATTTTTTTTCTTGATTCTGAAAGATCATTTCATTGTCGATCCGACAGTATTAAAATGTTGCCATCTTACATGGGAAAGTTTTCGAGCAAATGACGATTGAATGTTGGAAAACGTAAATTTTATTGATTAAAAAAATAACAATTCCTATGTCAAGCAAATACAATTCATTAAGTTTTCTACCTAAATTAAGTGTTCGAATTGCCACCCACCGACTTGTTGACAATACGCAAGTCTGTGTAAAAATACACCTACGTGATCCATAAAAAACTTCAGGCATTTAGAAAAACTAAATTTGATAACTTTTTTGCTTTATTTTAATTGATCTGGGATTTCTAACATTCAATCGTCATTTACTTGAAAACTTTAAGATGGCAACATTTTAATACTGTCGGATCGACAATGAAACGATCTTTCAGAATCAAGAAACAAAATAGGGGGTTGCTATTAAAAAAATTTCGATGACGTCATTACTCGAAAACAAATGACGGTTGAAAATCGCCATTTATGCTAAAATATGTATTTTTTAAATTAAAAATCGGCCTATTCGAGGATTTTTCCCAAAAAAAAATTGTTTCGTTTTTACTGAATTTATTCCATACTTACGTCTAGAATGATACAAAGCAGTGCATCTTCTATCCTAACAAAATTTGGGATAAAAAAAATTATAGATAGGTTCCAGAAATATTCCGATGCTGTCATAAAAAAATATTTTTATAATATAGACTGTCTTAGCAAAATGTTTCTAATGGTCGATTTCTCCGAGCGCACTTTTTGTTCGTTAGAAATACGTATTTACGAACATATAACACTTTTGTTATTATTACTGAAGTACGAAGCTTCTTTTTTCCTCGTTTTCAACCCAGTTCATCGCGTTTCCAAATGAGGACTGCCGGTCGATCAACTGATCATTGTTAGCCGACACTACCAAATAAAGATGCACTGGCAGCAGTGGAATACCTTGTTTCATATATCGTACATTGTTTTGTTTGTGACTGGCGCCGAAACTTCCTATTTGTCCGTGGAGATTCATTGGCAGTCAGGGCACAGCTCTTGTCTTGAATACTCTTATAAACATCCCAGACATGTTTGGTTCGTTTTGGAATACCTCCATCGCTTCCGTGTGCAGTTATCGTATGGATTCTATAGGATTATGGGTTCCTATTAACGTTAATACAGGCAATGATGTTAATGATGAAAACAAGTCATTCATGAACAAATAATAGTTAAGTTTATTGAAGAAGTAGACATAAAAGTTCGTTTTTTTATACAGGGTGAGTCACAGTTAGGTGTAAAAAATTTGTCCGAAACAAAATAACACAGCCGCACAAAAAGGAAGTTATAATATCTCCTAAAATAGGGTGAAATAGTCAAATGTAAATGCACATTACGATTGTTTTTGTATGTTATATTATATATACATTGTTCATATATCTAATGTAGGTTGATAGAAAGATAAAAAAAAAATATAACTCATTATTCAAAGAGTTGGAAACCACCACAGACAAGGGTACCATTAACCCTTTAAGTCACGCATTTTTCTATTCAATATTTTTGTTTGATTTTATTCCCGCGGGTTTTTTGGGGTCGCTGATTACGATCATCTCTGCAAGTGCCATGAGACAGTACAATGCAAGTCGGATTTATATTCTTTGTTTATCATTTTTAGGCATTTGGTTGTTTTTACTCAATTGACTAAATTTTTTAAACATTCCATCGAATTCCAAACCAATTCTTAGAAATATTTTTATTATTTGCATTTATTGTTGTTTGTCATAAACATTTGAAAATATACTTTTATACCTGTTGTATCAATATAAAAACGTGTCTACTAATGTGAAATAAAGTTGGGCAAAAACGAATTCTTAGATTCTAACGTAACATTTACAAGAATGTCGTCATCTGCTAGGTCATAGTTGAATAAATTTTGTTAGTGTTTAATCGTAAAACATTTATTTTTCTTGAACAAAGGTTTTAACCTACATTTTTGACCTTAAGAGGGTCACATTTTGAAAAAAACTGTGGTATTCAAGTTCTGGTTATGAGGCGTTATTGATTTCCGTGTAAAATATTCCGTAAAAAAGTCAAAGCTTGAATAAAAGATCATTTGTACCTTTTCTTATTACCTTCTATTATCGGTTGCGTCGCAGAAAAGTGACATTAGGCCTTACGGTTTAAAAATAAACTTGACTGACTCATATGGCATTCTAGCCGTCGAGCCGACATGTTTTATGCATCTCGCGGTGAAATCTACTGCAGTAGTTACGGAACACGTTCTCTACAATTTTTACAGGAATTCTTAGAAATTGCGCTTATCTTTATGTCGTCTACACTACAGTGTTAAAAATAGGCATGGTTCGCAATAAATAATAACGATAAAAAACTCTGTAACGTAAAAAAAACATTAATTTTATTCATCTGTATGATAAATTGTGTATTTTTATACAAGGTGATGCTTTAAAAGCTATAGGCTATTGGTTATAGAATTTTAAAGCACAATTGCTTGAACGTTTAGTTCCATTTAACGATGTTTTTTGCATGTAATCAATAGCCTATATGTCCTTTTGACACTTTTTAATGCTTTCTGCAGTCGTTTCAATGTAATCTGTGTATGTGCTGTGTTTTGGAATTGTCAGTTTGTACCAAACAAATTAAAATTTAGAATTAAATTCATTAGCTGTGCTTAAATATTTGAAAAATACAAAATGTATTTAGCAGAAAGTACACCACTGACTGACGTTATAGTCCTAGCGTAACGAGAGTAATTTTTGAAAATTTTCCATATTCTATATTCAGACGCCATTATCTCTAAAGGTTAAAGATAGGTATAGGTTATGTTACATAAAAAATGATCAGAATTCCATGGAGAATTGAATAAAAATACAAAAAAGTGGGGTTTCCATTTAGAAAAGTTGGCCTTGATTTCATAACTTTTTTTTGGACCACCCTGTATAAATGAAATTTGCGCAACTAAAAATATAGTTTCATAAAACTTACACAGGGGGACTAGATTGTTCCTTATTCATTTTTTTAATTTTTTCTTTAAATCTTTTGAAGATAAGTCGTTTTTAAAAAATCCATATACTAGATGTTCCACATAATTGACACAGGTCTGAATTACGGGCAGTTTTTTTTCTTTTCACTTTTAACTTTGTCTTTATTTACTAGTTTTTTAATGAAAATTTGTATATTTATTAACCAGATGTCTTAACTTATTTTTTTACCATTTCTGCCTTTTTTGGAAGTTTATACTGGATTTTCCACAAAATTATCCACTTGAGAGTTAAGGACAAAGCGAAACTTTTCTTATTCTTTTCTCGAGCGGGGCCTACTCTTTTTTGAAAAACGTTCTCATCAAACTTTTATATACAGGGTATTTAAAAACCAAAGTTGAAGTCTTGAAACACCCTGTTTCAAGAAATGTTATATCTACTAACCAGCGAGGAAAGGCGCGCGGCCCGAGAGCCTAAGGCTCGAGAGAAAGGCCAAACTCTGCACCAGCGGATTTGCAGGCCTTTCTAGTTCTTAATTAATAAACTACGATTGAAATATCTGGGAGACCAGTGATCTTTTTGACAAAAGTAAATTGTTGTATAACTTTGTTTAGGAATGTCTGCGAAGGTGGTAACTTTTTGTGTAGTCTTGTTTCTGTTAGATAAAAACCTCGTCATAAAAGACAATTTTTTGACAAGGTTTTTATTGCCGCCGGCACCTTTTCCTCGACATTGCTGACCTAGCCTTTTTCCTTTGCAGGTGGTGACCCCCAAAAAATTCAATGATGTCTATCTCTACGACATGCCCCCCTCAAGATGCTCACCAATTCCGGTTTCTGGCCTTAGCCCAGGATTGAGCCCCAGAGAACAGACGAACGACTGTTACGATGTGCCCCCCCGGGCCATTCCAGTAAGCAACGAGAACTTCCGGAACTGTCCCCGATGCTCGCCGGCCCCCTCGTGCGCTTCCCCGATAGGTCGAGAATCGGGCGAGGCTTACGACATCCCCAGGGCCATCCTAGGGCACCCCAATCAGTTGACCCCCTCCAGTTCGGCTAGTTCTCTGACGGCAGACTCGCTGAGCTCGTCGAACCGCAGCAGTCTGGCCAACATGCCCGACTATGATGTTCCTAGACCGCACAACAGAGGTCCCCAGCTGGTGCTGCACGCGCCCCAGACCTACGACATTCCATCACAGACCACGAAGGAGTTGCCCTTAGAACTAAATTCAGCTTTAGAAAACCTGGAGAGATTACAGACTGACACGACGAGTGCAATATCGAAACTGCTGGGATTCGTGGGACCCCAGTGGAGAACCAAAGAGAAGTTGGAGGTTAACCTGATGGAGATCAGGTTGTCGGTGACTAGGTTGGGAACATCACTTCACGACTTGGCCGAGTTCGGGGAAGGTACTCTGGGCAACGCGGCTAGAGCTTCTGATAAAAACATCGCGATCAAACTGGCGCCATTGGTTTCCGCTCTGAGAAAGTCCGATAGTTTGGTGCAGGAAGCGTCGGAAAAACTCAACAAACACAACTGGTCCTTGGAGGTATTGTCGAGGCCGAACGAAGAAGAGAAGATCCGCAAGCCAGACGAACTGGAACAACTGGTGGCTTGTTCGAGGGCGCTCACTGAAGACATCCGCCAGATAGCCTCCTTCATTCAAGGCAACGGTCTGCTCCTTTTCAAGAAAGAACAAGCCCAAGGCACTAACAACACGGAGTGGGCCGAGGAGTACGACTACGTCAGTCTAGATTCCAAAGAGAGCATTTCCAAGAACCACGCGGAGATCCTGAAGGATTTACCCAAGGACCTGAAGAAGGGCTACGACAACTGCCTCAAACACGCGGACGATATAGCTTTCGACGGAGACCACAAGTCGGCAGGCCTAGACTCGGACGACAAACAACTCCTGACCTTCTACGCAGCACAGGTAGTCACACACCACACGAACTTAACACACGCCATAGACGCATTTTTACAGACTGTCGAACACAACCAGCCCCCCAAAATATTCCTGGCTCACGGCAAATTCGTCGTACTCAGTGCTCACAAGTTAGTACTGATCGGTGATACTGTCCACAGGAACATCTCCTGTAAGGAGATTAAAGATAGAGCCTTACATTGTGCCAACGCCTTATCCGATGCTTTAGCCGCTAGTGTTAACAAGACGAAGCAGGCAGCGCTTCAGTTTCCATCGGTGAACGCTGTCCAGGAGATGGTGGATTCCATTGTGGATATATCGCATTCCGCGAAGGATTTGAAGGTATGCTTAGTGCAGGCCGCAGTTCCCCTATAATTTTCGACTGAGTTGCGCTTAAGGTTGATTTGAAATAAATGATTTTACTTCGCAAGCGTCCGGTAGTATTTCGTACTTATTTTGGAAGGACTGGATCGGGTGTTTAGTTTGTTTGGTAAGTGGGTCGTATGCTCCATTTTACGTCTGTACACGCGCTGACAAATTGAGGTCAAGTACCACATGTGCGAATTTTATTAGAGTGTTATCGTTAGATATTTTCTGTACTGCATCCCAGTGTCAGCAACTGTATGTTGGATTGCTTAATCAATTTATTCCAAACGTGTAGATATGAGATATAATTTGTTACACTTCGAAATGTTTTCCCGGGCCACAAATAATAAGATACGTGTCGAGAAAGTACTTAAAGTTTGGGGAGTGACGTCGATTTTATTATTTTTGGGGGAAACTTTTCCTTTTTAAATATTTGTAATTTTGTTATTTATTATTTTAAATATTCTAATTAATGTAAATAGTTATTAACATTTAATGTTAATATTTCAGTTTATATTTTAATAAATATCGATTATGATTTTACTTTATTTTTGTTTTATTTTTTTTTATTAAGAAATGAAAATTGCCGTGTTATTGCCATCGCAGTAGGTAAGTTGATACAAAAACTAATACCCATTTTTTTTCTTTTCTAATGCAGGTTAGTTAATTGATTGCAGCAATAGATTAGCTACAAAGTACCCAGTACTAGCATCTGAAAAAATTATTAAAAACCAAGCAAAAAACTTGGAATATTTTTACTGACGGATGGTGTTGCAATTTTGGAAAAAGTAAGTCCCTAGATTGATAAAGTGTCGCAATCTATCACCATTTTGTGGCAAAACCGCTACTGCCAACCTTGAAATATAACTTTAATATACAGTGTGGACCATTTTGGTGAAGCATGTATGTTTGGAAACTATCAGAGACAGGAAAATGGTTAATTGGGGAAAGATTTAGACAGTTCTGTTGCTAACTTAATGGCGCTTGCAGACCGGTCCTAGCTCTTCAGGTTTTTGAGTTATTTTGAAAAAAAGTGAATGGCGATTTCGAAAATCGCCTGTAACTTTTTTATCTAGAGGATTTTTTTAAATATGAAAACACCTTTTCCCAGCAAGCTTTTTCGAGGAATTTTATTGTACATTTAGTGTTTCATTGCGACGTTTTGTTTGCGAGAAACCATCATCAACTTCCTTTATTCTTATGGGCGCTATACTGAATTTTAAGCTGAGCAAATACAACTTTTTTTGTCTTTTCAACGATATAAAATAAGTAAGAAAAAATTTTAAAAACAACCTCAAAAAATCAATTTTTTAATATTTTTAGTAAATCTGGCAACACCGCATAATTTTTCGACACTATTATAGAATTGTCTAAAATTTTTGTAAAATGACACGACATTAATGATAAGCTTTTACAAAAATTTGAGACTATCTATAATAGTCTCGAAAAATTATGCGGTGTTGCCAGATTTATTAAAAATATTGATTTTTTGACGTTATTTTTTAGATTTATTCTTACTTATATTATATCATTGAAAAATGCTCTATTTGCTCAGCTTAAAATTCAATATGGCGCCCATAAGAAAAAAGAAAGTTGATGATGGTTTCTCGCCACCGAAACGTCACAATGAAAATCTAAATATACACTGAAATTCCCTGAAAACACTTGCTGTGAAAAGTGTTTTCAGATTTTAAGAATTCCTTTAAATAAAGAAGATACAGACGATTTTCGAAAACGCCACATTTACTTTTTTTCAAAATAACTCAAAAACCTGACTTCAAAATGACAGGCAGTTTGAAACAAATGAAACTATTATTATCGACATTAAGATTCATAGACTACTAATGGGGCTTTTCTTCGTTAACACTTGGCCATTACTACGATTTTTTAATTTAAAGATAAGCTTTTACAAAAATTGATACTATTTTCTAATAGTCTCGAAAAATTATGCGGTGTTGCCAGATTTATTAAAAATATTAAAATATTGATATAGAATAGTCTCAAATTTTTGTAAAATGACATGACATTAATGATAAGCTTCTACAAAAACTTGAGACTATTCTATAATAGTCTAGAAAAATTATGCGGTGTTGCCAGATTTATTAAAAATATTACAACATTCATTTTTTGAGGTTACTTTTGAAATTTTTTCTTACTTATATTATATCATTGAAAAGCCAAAAAATGCTCTATTTGCTCAGCTTAATTCAATATGGCGCCCATAAGAAAAAATAAAGTTGATGATGGTTTCTCGCAACCGAAACGTCGCAATGAAAATCTAAATATACACTGAAATTCCCCGAAAACACTTGCTTTTAAAAGTGTTTTCAGATTTTAAGAATTCCTCTAAATAAAGAAGATACAGACGATTTTCGAAAACGCCACCTTTACTTTTTTTCAAAATAACTCAAAAACCTGAAGAGCTAAGACCGGTCTGCAAGCGCTATTAAGTTAACAACACAACTCTCTAAAACTTTCCCCATTTAACCATTTTCCTATCTCTTATAGTTTCCAAGATACCAATCACCAAAATGGTCCACACTGTATTTCTGTGCTACTATTTAACTTTGGTCAAAATGACATCAGTAAAACCGCAATTTTGGGGCAAACAAAACCAATCGGTTGCTTTACTTGCTTAATCTAAGGACTTTGGGAAAGGAAGCAGCACTAAGCAAATAGTCTTCATGATTCTGAATTGCAATTATTTCTATCAGTGTATTTTTTTTATTTTAAGTTTCATTCTGATTCAGGATAAAGAAAATATGAAAACCTATGGAGATTCTAAATATATATACAGTTATTTTTTTTAATATTGGGAGAAATACATCAAAGGCGACATATTATTTTCGGTACCTAAAAAATACGTTCATTGATATATTTTTGCTTTAAACATTCACAATATTCAGACAATAAATACAATTTGACAATAAATTTCCTTCATTTACTTGATTAAGCAATCTCAAAATGGAAATACGATATTTTGCTGGTTTTAATTTTGATAGTTGCCGCTTCGAATTTACTTGTATGCCGTTAGGATTTGGCGTTGTCCGTTGGGTGTATCCAAAACTAAACGCTTCAAATTACATATTCTAAAGTAATATAAAATATAACGCACAATACTTCATCGCGTTTCTCTGCCTAGTCCAATCAGTCGTGCGGAAGTTATCAGGTTTGTATGACATGACAGATCCTCGGTTTTTCTCTACCTCGTAAGTCTCATCATATCAAGGAGTTACAATTCTGAGTGTTTTGGGCGGAATCGTCATTGGAATATAAATTAAGAATAGGCAGTGAAGTAAAAGTTAGGAAAACTGTGTCATATGAAATATTATCTCTGGCGAATTGTATACTTCTCAAAAATAAATAGATGTGCCTGCTTTTGCACTAATACTTACTAATACTAACGCACAGTTGAAAAAGTCAGAAGAATAAACATTTTTGAATGTAACTTTAAAAATGTAACCAAAAGACGAGGATCTCCATATGGGCGGAAACCATTACATTATTTATGACTTATTGAAAATTTTCAAAAAGGCATTTTTTGTGTTGGCGTTTGCAGAAAGGTTGACATTTTTCCAAAACAGTACCTCTCAAATGAACGAAGTGCTTTTCTTAAATATGTGTAATTAACATGGTTCATAAACTTATAAGGCAACTCGAAAATCTTTAAGGAAGTTTACAAAGAATCAAAGAACATTACCAAGGTCTACTATGCACTGTTACAAATTTTGTCTAATAAATCTTATAAATAATTAATGGTTTCTGTAATCTAGAAGAAACGTGGAATTGGTTCAGTGTTGCAGCTACATTACATTACTGAAAATATGAATCATCGAGTGAAATTAACCTTCCAATTCATTAATTCAAGGGCATGTTCAATTAACAATGTCTAATTCTAAGAAAATATATAAATACCTGCGTCATTTGTAGTCTTTTAAGATTTTTTGACGTTTTGTTTAATTTTGGTTAAAAAAATTAGACACGAACGGATGAAATAGGGTTGTAGTAACCATTTACCCCTTTAACTTTCTCCAGTGCGCGCCTATGATTCAAGGATATTGTTTTCTATACTAAACGTTCGTTTTCTCAATTTTTTCCACTTCTGTAAAATTTTTATTTTTTAGACTAAATCAAAATTGAGATTTTTAAGTTAACTAAAAAAAATCAAAAACATTAATTGCAAAGGTAATGGGCTATTGGAACCCCCAAAACATATTTTTTGCAGCTAGGAATCACTATCCGAAAATTATATATCCATTTGAATCATGGGCTTGCGCAAAATAGTAACATGGGGACAACGAGTACTACAATCCCCCTTCTGATCGCGCCCCGATTTTTTCATCAAAATTGCACAACATTTACCAGCATTGGATAAAAGTCCACGTAACGTTTCAAGGGTTGGACAAGTTGTATCTTGAAAGAGACACCTATATGGAAAATAACACAAGGAAAGTCTCATTGGCATTCAAGTCACACACCTGGTATTTTCCACCCAAGTTTGTGGTTGCAACACTGCTAACTATTCGTGCCAGTCATTGTTGTGGAGATGTTACGGATTTGGTAACAATATTCTAAAGCACAAAGCAAAAACGATACGCACAAGAAATTGCCATTAAATGTTGTATCTGTGTCATCCGCATATTAATTGTCTATGTTGTACATTTTTTTTGTTAAATATGCTCTCCCCATTGGACGATCCGAATAACCAAACGTCACTCGGTGCAATGACGCCGATATGTACAAAATATTTCTTTTACATTTTATTTAAAAATTCTATATCGATTAATTCACTGTTATCTCTACCGATTTTGACCCAGTGGTACCTGATGGTCAGGCCAAATATCTATAGAATCTTGACACGGGAAAAATACGTTAAACTTATTATAAATGAAAGATGTTACAAATAAATAATGACAAACATGGTATGTAATAGTTGACTTCATATTTACACTGAGTTACGGCATTTGTTTGAAACTTACCATCCAATGCTATTCCTCCAAATTTATCTTTTTTTGCATTTAATTTGTCCTACGTCGAGACTGATATACATCAAAACATATTCATTACCTAACAGGGAAAGGCACAGATGTACAGTGTTTGTAGAGGTTGTAGGATTTTTCAAAATACTGAAAGTTTTGGAATGGTATCTATGGATTTTATCTGCGAAATAAATTTCATAGAAAGTGACAAATAAAGGCAATAATGATTTACCAGAAAAGAAATGAAACGAAGGCAATGGGAAAGAACAACGAAGAAATTGAATAAAATTTGCAGTTTTCCTCATAATAACTTTTATTTTCTAAGCAAACGCTTAGTTATGTTGGAGAGATGATACGATTTTTTGAGAATTTTTAAATGTGCATAACCTTATTTCTTGCAGCAGTACAACGAAACGTGCAATATATTTTTTTGACATCACACGAAATTAAACCTAAAGAAAATACATATACTAATGTAGCTAATGATCA